TATTTCTTTAAAAAAACAGTCATAAACAGTTTGTAAAAACATCAAAACTGGAGATCAAAAAATACATGAATAATTCCAACGCCTTAAAAGGACTAGTAAGGGCGAAAGCGAGCAACCCTTTCGTTACTGTTTTGTGGCGCGTTGCCCGAGGCCTCTTGGCCGAACATACCCCTCCGACGACGGTCTCGCGGGGTGTCGCAGTAAGGATTAGGGCGGTCATGACCACGAGGGAGCACCCAGCAAGAGGCGCTGGGACTAGGGATCATCACTTGGAATGCGACCGGTGCGCTACGGGGCGCTCGTGCAGGAGAGGGAGGGCTGACCGGGGAGGGGAGACGGCGCCGACGGTGACGGTGGCGGTGACGGGAGTCGCGGTGATGAAGCTTCCTCTCTGTCTTTGCCTCCTTACTGCTCTGCAGGACCTCTCTAAGGTCGTCATCAACCCCGTTCGGAGGTGGACTTACTGAGGAGGGGAGCTGATGGTGACGAGAGTCGTTCCTCTCTAACTTGGCCTTACACTCCTTAGTGCTCTGGAGGACTTCTCCAAGGCCGTCATCGGCGCCGTTCGGAGGCGGACTTACTGGGGAGAACAGCCGACGACAGTGACGGGATTCGCTGTGGCGAGACTTACTTTCTATCTTCGTCTCGCACTCCTTGATCTCGTCCTGCAGGACTTTTCCACTGCCATGGCCGTCATGAAGGCCGTTCGGAGGCGGACTTACTAGGGAAGGGAGCCGACGGTGACGGGGTTCGCTGTGGCGAGACTTACTCTCTACCTTCGTCTCGCACTCCTTGATCTCGTCCTGCAGGACTTTTCCACGGCCATGGCCGTCATGAAGGCCGTTCGGAGGCGGACTTACTGGGGAAGGGAGCCGCCGGTGGCGGGGTTCGCTGTGGCGAGACTTGCTCTCTATCTTGGTCTCGCACTCCTTGATCTCCTGCAATATTTTTCCGAGGTCATCCATCACGTCGTCCAGATCCCCGCCGTTCTGGCCCTCCCGTTCCTGCTTGAGGTGCTCCTCCTTCACCGCCACCGTCCGGTTCGTCAGGCGACGGTACATCTCCTCGGCCGCGTCGTCCGCTTTCTTCCACAGCAGCATCTTCTCCAAGACCTGCGAGCACATGACACAGTGCGCATTTAGCGTAAGACTTCACACACTCAACCGACGCATTCGGTTTTTCAAGAGCAAATGTCATTGAAAACTCACCTGCGAGACGGATGGTTTTGGCCGTTCTGCGTTTTTGCTCTTGGCCAGCACGCCGTACGGGACAGAAACCACGGCCAGGACCATGCGGTGGTTGGTGTCGCTGAGGCCGGCGCTCGGGACGGACCGGACGGCCAGGACGGAGCCGCGGTACTGCCTATCGGGAAATCCACGTGCACGGTTAGAGGTCAGTCGTTTAGAGGTTGCGATCATAGCCTCGCCCCCAGGACACAGCACCAGAGCCAGATCAACACGAAGACCCTACCTGCGCACCAGGACGTGGTCCACCTGGCTGCATGATATCCGCTCCGAGCCGTCGGCGAGCCGCTCCACGGTCATCCGGGTGGCGCGCGCGTCCGCCTTCTTGTCCAGTATGGTCGACCTGGCGGGCGAAACACACGAGTGGTGAAGTTGATCGCAGAGGGTGACGTTTCTTTCGCGTTTCCGCGGCCACGGCTTCACTTCGCGCTTACCTGATGACCAGGTCGTTGCGCCTGGCGAAGTGCACGAGGCGCACCCCGTTGCTGCTGTAGTCGCGGTGGAGGCTGGACTTCCCCGCGACGCACCTGAGCGAGTTCGGCTGGCGGCCGACCTCGGCGCCGAAGTCACCCAGCACGACGAGGACGGCGGTGCGGGGGGCGGCGCTCACCATGGTGCGCAGCGCTTTGGAGAAGCTTTCGTGCACCTCCTCGGCGGCGTCCTCGGGCGGGGCGAACGCGCTCACCAGGGACACGTTCATGGGCGTGGCGAACAGGTCCAGCCGGCACGCGCGTGACGACGGCGAGGAAACGAAGCTGCTCACCGCGCCGACCAGGTCGTCCCGGACCGCGAAGCCCGTCTCCGTGCTGCTCGCGCCGACGCCGCCGTGGGCGAACACCGTGTAGCCCTCCAGCTCGCCGATGCTGGACTCCAGAGCGTGTCCCTGCAGGGCAGCAATCTGGACGCCGTTGGCAGCCAGGCTGCGGGCCACCCCCGAGGGCCCATTCACCTGCTTCCCCAACCACGGCGACAGAGGCGCCCCTCGGCAAGCACCCGCCGCGGACAAGTAGCCCACGTTCCACGTCGCGAGCGTCAACGGCTTGTCCTGCACGGGGATCCTCATGAGCCGGCGCCCGTGAACTGGACGCGTACTGCTGGCGCACTGCTCCTCACTGCCACTTTTGATGCCGGGTCCAAGATCTTCAGATTTGACACTATTCACATCACTATCACTCCAGCCGGAACTAAGTCCACTTGCGGTAGAGTCCTCTTCGCCCTCAGATTTGATTTGGACCTCAGCGCAGTGCCCACTGGGACGTGGAGACGGCGTCGACTCCAGTCCAGAGTCGGGGGACAGCTGAGGAGGCGAGCACAGCGGTGGGGGCGCCGGCGGCAGCGAAGGGGTGGTGACGGACGGGGGGTAGCAGCCCACTCTAAAGACGCTCGAGTATCTTGGCGCGCACTCGCTGTCAGAGCACAGCAGACACACGGTCCTCAGGGGCGTAATACCCTCGTGCGGGCTGACCATGGACGTGCCGTGGCCAGGCAACAGGATCAGGATGTTGACGGCCTCGGAGTCCGCGCAGGCCTGAATCACCTCCACGCCGAACGCCCTCGCCGTCCAGGCGTCGCCCGTATCGCGGATGTAGCCGTCGACCATGGCCTGCATGTTGGGGATGCGGTTGAGGTCGAGGTAGGCGTTGCCGTCGTAGTACCCGTAGTTCCTGGTCACGGCCTCCACGATGGCGTCCAGGTAGCGGCGGCGGTGCAGGGCGAGTTGGACGGCCAGCCGGTGCCTCAGCAAGGCCACCTGGCCGGGAAGCACGTCGACGCCGCAACCGGTCAGCTGATGCGTCAGGGCCTCCATGAGCATGTTGCTGCACGTCAGCGACGTGGGGAGGTCGACGTGCTCGATGAGCACCGCGAAGCGTTCGTTGTCGGCGCGCGTCGTCCGGCGGAGGGCCGGCGGGGCGTCCACGGGGAAGGCCATGTTGTGCGGCAGGGCCTCGGCGGCGGCCGCGACCCCGTCGGGGAAAAGGGCCTGCTGGCACACGCGGAACGGCATGGTGCTGCGGGGCGGCGCGCACCTTGCAGACTGACTGGACTGGACTGTCGACTGTTGCTGACTAGGGGTGGGGGAGGGGAGGGGGTTGCAG